ACAGTTTCTGTTTTTAATTATTTTACAATATAATTCACTTATCAATATTCACCTTGTTTTTCAGAATTAGCCAGTGCTGGAAATCATTTCTACTATAATCCAACTAATGAGACGGGATTACCCAGTCCCCCAATGTGTAGTGTCCTCACGAAGTCTGGAACATTTGAAGAGGTGACGTGTGATACTGAAATACCTTATATTTGTGAAAAATAGATGTTTCGATGCCTATAAATTTAGAAAGATAGATCAACACGCATGTGCTTAACCTACGGATCAAATAAATCTGTAGCGGAAATCAAAGTGTTGTGTTCTCAGAAAATGTATGTGCGGATCTAGGTGTGACACTTTGAGGCCATTCTTTTGTGATATTAATTTTTATTTGCTTTAAATTTCTTAAGATCTTTAAGATCTTCACCCTGTAATTTTGTATAACGCCTATCAGTTGGGGTAGTTGATATCGGCGACAGAATCTATCTTTATTAATAGTTACATTATATACTTAAACAATACCAAGGACTCAAAATGTACCGTTATAAGAAGTTTAGCTGTTGGCTTTAAAACATTCTGTTCAAATTTGAAACGGACAATGGACGCTACAGGACCCCATAACACGCGGTTGTTGAAACATCAACAAAGATCTTTTGTCGATGGAAGCAGTAGTCCCTTTGTTCTCTACTCTTGTCAAAATAATATGGGCGCTATAGGCATCCATAGAGTTCGATTGGGTCTATTTGAATTGGTATATGTACGCACTAGCAAAAGCAATTTGTTTAGTTCTGGACTAAATTGATTATAGAGATTACGATCATTGATTTCAATAATACAGACGAGAGAACCCAATCTTTTGAATGTTATCTGTCCTGATAAAATTATGGTATTCGACAAATATCTGTATTTCTAACATCCGAAAACAAATGTTCAATGGTACACTTTTTACATTGACCGCAATTGACTCCCATACTATTCTGTTCCTTTTCAACTTCAGAGATCAGGTTCACCATCCGTTTGACTATTCCTACCATAGTCTCAGAAACGGGAATTGTTAGTGTTCACAGCTAAACGTCGAAATTTGAGCCTTCAAATCTATATGTGTCCAGAATTATCCGCGTTCAAAAGTCGATTCTTCTTTTCTGGAGATACTGCCATACATAGAAAATACACCTATCATAGAAGTAGAAAGAGAAATTACTAGTTTGGGGTATTTTGAAGGAATTGTTCGATTTTCTTAATTTCTAGTACTTCTGAAGTGTGTTCACATATATTCAATACCCCAATCAATTCCCAAAAATGGCGAACTTGTCACTTTAACCTTTTCATGATTTCACTAAATCTTTATCGATTTATTTGCAAATTGTAGGCGGCTTGTTTACTTACGATCAGTTTATTTACAAATTACAAACAAGAATCACTTTGTTCATTTGTCAATCTGAACTAATTTATATTACCAGTTTCTTGTGAAAATTTAGCTGATTCAATCAGTATATTTACAAACGATAAATACTAACTGTGTTTTTTTTGTTAATCTGAAGTATCATACGGACCTACGTATGGTTCCTTCTTGGAAATAACACGCGAGAACGTAGTTCACAACAATTTTGAATTTCTTCCTCGAATAAATATGTCTATATATATTTTTTTTAAAAAAAGACTGTTATATTTCAACAAAGCCTTCGATTTACATTTAAAGCCATTTCTAAACCTTTAAATGTGATTTGAAAGCTGAGTTGAAAAGTATAACCTTTATCGAAATTCGACTTATTAAGTCGGGGAAGAGATTCAAAATGGTTGTGAATTACATTCGAGTGTGTTATATTACCCTTTTCCTGTGAGAAGTGAGTAATTGCTGATTCAATCAGTATATTTACATTCGATAATCACTAACTGTGTTTTTTTTTTTTTGTAAATCTGAAGTTTATTACCTATTTCCTGTATTGAGTTGTGATTAATTGCTAATCGCTATTATAAATATAATATATTGATTGACTTATGTTATGGTTGTAGTATTCTGGTTACTGATAATTTTAAGAATCATTATCTTCTATAGTCCAGATCATGTAATTAAATAGGAGACTAAGCTAAGCAATGCGGAGGAGGGGTCACGATTGTCCAGTCTACTTTATTTGTGTGCGCACCTCGGCCCTAGCCATGGTGTGGGTGCGGCCGGGGAAATGGGTGTTGCAGGTGGCCTTGCCTGTACACAAATTTCTAATCTAGGAAAGTGGTGAATACTGGAAATTTTAGCAGTAAATAGAATAATTTTTTCGTTTTTTCTGGTCTGAGGGACACCTTTCCCCTGCACCCTTAAATACGCCACTGACTAGGCTGTAAAACCCCAAACGGTTGCTGGTTTACATATTAATATTTCTAGCGATGAAAACTAGAAAGAAACTTGGTAGTATATACTCATTAAAAACTATGATAACTGAACTTTTATATGCAAATTGATCACCTGAAATACTCAATACTACCATATTTATCACGAACGCCAATGTTCAGGAAGTAGGATTATTAAGATGTTAAAACCATAGTAAAATATCATTATCGAAACCTGGTCGATATTTGGTATTGGTGATCCATAAGACTTCAAAACAGATATATTTCATTTAGCGACGTATTAATCAAATGATACAGAATTCCAATAACCAGCATCATCAGCTCAATTATAAATCATAAAGATATATACGGTGGATCATCGTTCGTAACTATTAAATAAATTCATTATCACAGGTAGGTCCAACTTTTTAACAACATTTTTCCAACATGCTCTGTTTATACTTGAGCAACCTTTATTCAACATTCGATCAACATGTTAGAAATTTGTTGGAAAACTCAGAGTTTTCTTGGCTCAAGTCATACCCGGGAGCGGTGACTCAGTGATTTAGACCCTTGCTCGCTAACCTGAAGGTGCAGGGTTCCATCTCGTCATAGGTCGAGATAATTTTACTACCAGGTCAGTGATGAAGCAAATAGTGGCTGAACTGGAAAAAGTGTCGTTCGGATGGGACAACAAACCGAGGCACCGGCTGTGCATGCTAAAGATCCCTCGACAGTTGGAAACTGAAAAAGAGCAGGCTAATGCCGCAGTCCAGGCAAAATTGTCCTCATTGCATCCTGTATGGCGTTGCTCGTCTTCATTAGCCCACATGTTGCAGAAGAATAGGACGTAAAACTTCATTCATTTCATTTTATTTGTCAGTCATACTCCTCTATCTCATGGCTGCCATTTTGTCAATCACGTGTCGTATGTTGGTATCACATGACCAGTCTGATGTTGGTAGAATGTTGGTGAAAAGTTGTAAGCCTTGTTTTCACCTATATACACTATCAACATTTGTCCAACAAAAAGTACTTTGGCAATTCATTTTCTAACTACTTCAACACTTTTCCAACAAGCAATAACTCTGTATACACTTATCAATAATTTTCCAACATGGCTTTAAAACAACAAATGTTGAGAGGTGTTGATAGCGTCAACGAACCTTAAACCTCGTTTTAAGAACAGAGTTGATCGATATTTATGATGTAATGTGATTTAGAAACCGATCAATACGCCTCTACATAGACTCCTTACGGTATGTTTTGTAATAATTAATTTCAGCAGTGGCGTATTTGACTTGTTGGGCCGTAGGCAAGCGAACAGTAAAAGGCCTAATTTCTCATTTTAGCGAGGGGGCAGTGTGATTACAATTTTATGGCAGGAAGTTTCACCATTAGGCTCAAACATTTTAACCGATTCTCACACATCACGCCCCTAGAAGGGCAATTTTCGATGGGCCTGCGGAGATTTATTAACTGTTTGATAATTTTTACTGTTACAAAATTTTGTCATTGGACGCCTTTTCAATGGGCCGAAAGGCACCTGCCTAGTTTGCGTATAGATTAATCCGCCTCTGGATTTCAAGCACGAAACTCAAGACTGTTATATATGTGGTATCATTTATTTTTCTTTCCATTTACAGGGAAAAGTGCTTCACCGATTGCTGGAAATAGGAATTTGTAACAAAACATATAATAACGTAACGGCTTTGAAGGTTTGAATACCATTTATTCGGGAAGGACAACATCAGGCACAATAAACATCAATACGAGTAAAACACAGGAAAATCAATAAGGGTAAAATACAGGAACATCAATACAGGTAAAACAGAGGAACATCAATACAGGTAAAATACAGGAACATCAATACAGGTAAAACAGAGGAACATCAATACAGGTAAAATACAGGAACATCAATACGGGTAAAACACAGGAACATCAATAAGGGTAAAATACAGGAACATCAGTACAGGTAAAATACAGGAACATCTAAACTCTATCATCCCAAGACCAAATGGGCAGGGCCCATGCAGTTGGGGCGGGAAACTGGAATCTGAAAACTACATGACTCTTTAACTAGAGTTCTGCCTAGATCTCTCCTAGATCTGTCTTAGATCTCAAATCAGGTCCAATTCCTTTTTTCAGGCTCAAAGATATGAACTATATTCTGATTGGTTGAAACCTAAGCGTCCATATCCTTGAGACCTGATTGGATAAAGCTAATGCAAGAAGGGCGTTGATTGGTCAAGGGACTGACTATGAGAATGTTGACATTTGTTGACTCAGTGCATAATCTTTTATAATACTTCATAAGTATAAGCTTAATTAGTTAGGTAGACTCTTGAGGTCAGAACAAAGATGTATTATTGTCAAGGACTAAAGGCTACGTAGTATTATCTAATATACTACCCTTAGATGTAGATGCTACATTAGCAATGACAACAGATATTTAATTTCAAGTAGCCGAGGTGTTAATTGACTCTTTAAAATATTCTATTCGTACCTGTTCTGACACTCAATGCTAGTCAACCCTAATAATACATTGTGTTACAAATTGCAGGAACCACAGATGTCTGACTAAAAATGTGAATGGTGTAAATTGAACAGTGTCCGATACGCAAATTTGTTTTAGACCTCTTTGCAATCGTTTTACTAACTATCCATGTTTAAGGGCATCGAAACATCTATCTTTCACAAATATAAGGTATTGTAGTATCACACGTCACCTCTTCAAATGTTCCAGACTTTGTGAGGACACTACACATTGGGGGACTGGGTAATCCCGTATCAGTAGTTGGATTATAGTAGAAATGTTTTCCAGCACTAGCTAACTCTGAAAGACATGGTGAATATAGTTATTTCTAAATTAACATGATTTGAAACGGAAAATTTTATTTTTAACCAAATGTAAGTACTTGTTAGTATGAACTACATGCAATTTCATCATGGAGCTTTTAAAACAGTGTCTGTCTTGCCTTAACGTTTGGAAAGACGCTTGCAGGGAAGGTAATATACGCCCACTGGCAGATTTGCTTTTGAATAAAATTCACCAGTTTCCAGCTTCTCTTGAACTTTTTGGGGCGATACTTAAAAATATTACCAAGTTTTGTCAAAATCTGGCAAGATTCGCGCCTTTCAGTGTTTAAGTGCTAAAAATTGAAAGCGTTTTCAAAAAAAAGGTCAATAACTCCTATAAAACATTTTTTGATTTTCAATAGAGTTCATCCATGGGTGATTACAAACAATCGTACCAAGTTTCGTCAAAATCAGTCAGGAATTGTGCCTTCTAGAAAGTTTACGGGCTAAAACTTGAATGTATTTTCAAGAACAAGGGCAATAACTCATACTGCATATTTTTCAATTTTTTCTGATTTTCAATAAGGTTCATCCTTGGCTGATTACAAACACTCACACCAAGTTTTGTCAAAATCTGTCAAGAATTGCCTTTTAGAGTGTTTATAGGCATTTTAAAAACAAGAGCAATAACTCATACTAAATATATATCTGATTTTCAATAGGGTTCAATAGGGTCTGGGTGATAACAAACACTCACACCAAGTTTCGTCAAGTATTACGCCTTCTAGAGTGATTATGAGCATTTAAAAAACAAGGGTTTATGAGCAATTGTGGACGAGTGACGACAATATACACCCCCATGTGGGCGAATAAAATGTATGCAAGGTTGAAGTGAATATCAGGGAATTAAACGACCAGTATTTGGAACTAAGATCAACTGGCTCCATATTTCCACCGCACTGGCTGATGAAACAAGGGAAATCATATTTGCCAGGAAGTAGAATATGAAAAACTGCGAATTTAAGTGGCCCTTGAAGTTCTGTCAATATTAAAAAAAATAGGCAATTTGTAGAAAATAGTGTCAATGTCTCCTTTTTTTATAAACGTTGACACTATTTTCTCCACATTGCCCATATTTTATTAACATTGACAGAACTTCAAGGGCCTGTGGTCGGTAGTGCGCTTAGTGATTGATTCTCCCAGATGCTACCAGTTGCCAGCAGTCGTTTAGAATACTTGATACCTGCTTAAATAATTACTAAAAGTAATCAGCACGTAATGAGAAACTTACTTGTGTTGCTATTGAGTATCCGAACTATTGTATTCAGTTTACTCTCAGTTTGTAATGTAACCAAATCTCCTCCCTCCTGCTGACAGAGTTGTATTGACTCGGTATTGTTCTTAGGTCTGGAATAATGAAATCTCAGAGCTGTTTGGTGAGCTTCATGCCATCTATATCCTTGGGTTAATATTTCTTTAGTGTCAATCCGTACTGAAACAAACACAATAATTGTATATTGATATATCGTCGGTTTATTTATAATTTGTGACTTTTTGTTATGATGGTTTGTTGCTCAAAGTTTAGGAAAAAAATATGGTTGACATGTTGGATTCTGTTTTGAAAAGTGTTGGTACCATAATTGTTATAATAAGTTTTAGATGTTGTCAAACGGGTGACTTTTACGGGATGGATTTGGGGAAAATACTACCGAACTTTGTGTTGATTCGATGTCTCTTTACTTGTCACTTTACCAGGTCAAGTATCAAGTACCAGACTTTCTGTGTTAAAAAAAACAGAAGCAGATTATTTACAATTGGTTAATGACATCCTGCCATTCCAAGCGTGCATAAAAAATCTGGGTGTGATGCTCGATTCTACATTATAAGCGCGGAGAAGAATACGAACGAGGTCTGTAGGAAATGTTATCATCAACTCAGGAACATTGGTGGTATCAGACATTACCGAATCTGCGACAGCTACACTTGTTTGCTACCTAGTAATAAGTAACATTTTCCTTTCTGAAACATACCACCGCCAGTATTACAACAAATTCTAAAGACCAATGCTAAAGAAGCTCCATTGATTGATTGTTTCGAAGTGAATCGATTATAAATCACCTCTGGGACACCTCAATGTACCACAAACAAGGGTCCAGAATAATTGAATGATTTCATTGCAAAGAAGTGCCGTCATGAAATCTAAGATCCAAAAGCATGCAAACTTATTGTTTCCGATCTTTTTCATTGGCTGCAGTTAGTGTTTGGAATAACCTACCTACCCACACACGATGTTCAAGACAAAATTGAAACCTGTTTTATTTGACTCTCGGTAGTTTTTAGACTTTTGGGACTTTTGTTTCTATACTCACTAGTTTCTGTAACAAATATGAAAAGACTAGACTTTTGTTATAGATTGGACATAAACAGAACGTGACTGTAAAATCAATAAAGATTTCATTAAACATAGTCATTACTATTTAGTGTCAGTAAGCCATTATTGTACCCTATACATGTGTTTTACAATTTCATGAGCCAGAATAATGATGACCTTTTGGTAAGAAAATCTGATTTCTTCACAAAAATCAAGTCCTCCGATATTTTCATTGTTTAATTATGCTATTTGAGAGAATAGGGTGTATTTACAAATATTTCTATAATAAAAATATCTTGACGTGCAATTGTGGAAGACCCCATGATATTCCATAGTTAAGAGAAATACTATGTAATGATAAATTCTTTATTTTGGCACAGGTGAACCTGTCCGAAACATAAGTCATCGAATCAGTGATTGTATATCAAATTATTAGCAGCAAAAATAATAGGTACAGTCATGTGATCTAATTTCGTGCTAACCTATTTTTCGCATTTGCTTGTTTTGATAAACATGGGTTTTCTCTACAATTCCAGTAGTTTCAAGCCAGATAAAATGTATTAATGTATCCTTTGACAAAATACAAAATGGCGGATTCACTTCACCAAACTTCACAATTTTTTATCGGCCGAATTTCCTTATAATCCCTTGCTGTAATCGGAATTCCAAGTGTCGACTACTATAGAATGTAGTCCAATGAATGAAGTCACGTGATCAACTAGCGGAACACAAAGTAGGCCATAATCTTATGTTGTTTCAGTGACTTTTAGCAATAAATCACGCCACGTATCTTATTTTGTCAGTCACTATTTTTTCTTTTAAATCATGGTTCTTTGAAGGAATTGTCACTACACTACTTAATTATACCGCCGGGTATCCATACAACGTGTTTTTCTCGACTTATTTATAGATCAAACATTGTACACGAAAATAGGTGACGCATGTTGCCGCCATTGTCGAGTAGGTTACTCATGAAATATGGGTCAAAGTGGGGGATTCAAAAAAAAAAAAATCGAAACAAACCAATTTTAATTATTTTGTAGAATATGCGAGGAATCATCTAAGACATAAAGAAAAAAATTCCGTTTTTTTAACTTTGACGAAATTCGATGTTGAATCCTTATATGCACGAAAATAGGTTACACCACTGTACAGAATTAAAGATATTCAAAAGAATTTTTTCAAAGGGTTCTATGCACAATATCATACAATGACTCCGTGAAGAGTTAAATTTTGGTTCAAAATCGGCTCTTACCTTCATGAACATTGAAATGATATAAATGGGGCATTATGCTTATATTGGTAGATTTTTCAAAATTTGTAGCAGGTTCTGGCACCAGCATGCAGAATGAATCGAATTTATTGTAAGATATACAAGCACATGTTTCATCCTGGACACAAAACATAGCACAGCCAATCTTGGTTTTAACGTTTAATAAAGGATCCGCTTGAGGCATTAATCCTTCCATCGGTGGAAACCGGATCGCTGTAAACCTCCGATCTAAAGACTGAATTGTACACACACACAATAACAGCAGAAACACAATCTGGAAATATTGACGACGTGACATTGTTCCGTATTTTCGCCTTTAGAGGGACAAATTTGAGAAGTTGATTTGAGTCTTGAATATAAGTTAATAGTCTTGAGAAGTACCAAAAATGTGCAAATCACAAAATTCCTTTAAATATATCTCAAACTAAGAAATGACTACCATTAAACACGCAAAGACAATACTATAAAATAAAATGAATAGTTCAATACATAAGCTAATCGTTTGTCTGAGAAGAAGATGCTTTTCTTGATTTTCCTCCAGCTACAACATGCATGTGAAAAAGCTCTTATCGAAATCAAATGAAACCGTTTATGGCATAGGTTTTCATAAACCATAATAGCCAATCAAAATCGGCTTCAAAAATGAGCTGTCAAATCAATTCGTAACAAAGTCTTTCCCAGAGTTCCTTACCTAAGAACAGACAATCGATTGGTTGAATATTTCGATTGTTTGCATAATGGCATTCTAAAGATTTTGACATGATAACATCCCAGAATGTTCAGAAATGATAAAAATCATTTCTTTTTTGTGAGGAACTGGTTTGCCATTATTTGGGAATTGATTTAGGTAGGCTACTAGAAATGTACGAAAATAGCATAATTCCTTCAAAATTATCTTGAACTAGGAATTTAAAAAGTTCTTTCAAGTTAAAATAAATCCTATGACAACCGTTCACTTTTATGAATTAGTAATATACACTGAATACTGCATGAAAGGACGTCATTTACATTTCACAAACAAGCTCTGCTTTATTACTCAAACTTTTTTAGGTGTAAAATTAATAGGCATAGTTAACTATAAAATTAAAATCCAGTCGCTCTATTCTTCCTAGATATACTTACAAAACAACCCCACCCACCTGAACTAAAGACGTGTCTAATTAAAAAATATCGAACAACAGTTTAATGGAAAAACTATAAAACTGGTACGAAGTTAACCTTTTTCTTAATTTATTGGCGACGATTCTTCATTTCAAATTAATTGTACAATTTTTGTCTTGAATGAGATCAGTGCGTTCATGAGAGTTAGTCAAATTATTTAAGTTTTACTTGGATGGAATGGTTTATTAGCATTGATTATATTATCTGATGTTATACATCTACAATTTCAACACTCACTTACGAGGAATCTGATGGTTTCCATAAACTTCAATTTTGACTAATTGACGAACTCTTTGGCTACCGTAAATGACATACAGTTTTTTCAATCGGACAAATAAAAAAAAATTCTTAAAAGCAAGACAAATAAAAAAAAGTCGAGACATATACTATTGAATTCTCGCATTCATTTACATTCCTCAATTCGGATATACTGGGTTGTTTTGCCGTCTTTTATCTTAAGCGGATACTTTCGTGATAAAGGAACAATTGTAATTCATTTAGTCTTATGTCTCTAGTTGATTGCTTGGAGACAATGGTACAAATACCACGTAACAGGTTATATGGAACGGATATCGTGGTTACTTCAGATGACAGGAATGGAATTTCTTAGAAGTATTAATAATTTAAATTTTGTTATTAGCTTAATAACAGTAAAATATTTCACCCATAAAAGACAAAATAATTCATGGATAAATTCAAACCTACACTAAATGGAATGTCTTAATAGAATATTGTTAATTTAAATTTGTGAATGCTAACAATTAAAAGGATTGTATAGAGGTTTTCTAAATTTTGTACATATTATACATTTTATATATTATTATCGGGGACACTGAAAGCATCAATGCGCATAATTCCAGTCTTCAATCAGACGTCTGTTCATGCTAAAACTAAGTGTTTGATGACGCCATTAATCACGAAATATGCTTATCACAATCAAATCCTTATATAATGAAAAAGCTGCTTTTCTTGTTTTTACTCGAGTTTACACATGGCAAAGCCTTACCTAATATCCATAAACTATTTCGTTCCGATCTAACGACAACCCTCTTAAACGTACGTCTTCTTTAACCAATCAAATATCTTCCATCTCTAGCATTTTGTGACGCGGTGTTGATCAGGTTTAGCAAAAAATCAATTTGACAAACGTCCAAGTGGCTATATTAAGAATGAATACTTATAAAAAAAAATGGAACGAAAGATTCTCCTGGTTGTAATTAGACTGTTCAGGAAGTGGAGTTATTTAGATGGTAAAACCACAGGAAAGAATCTTAAAAATCGAAACACACTGTAATCGATCGTTAACCTCTCCTCAACAGCTTCCCATCGTAGTTCTTCCTCGGTGGATTCGTAACCTATTTGAATCCAAGGCATTTAACAGTTCGATATATTACTATATAGATTTTGTATAAATGAACACAAGCATGAAACTCCTGCCACAATCAAATTTTGTAGTTGAAAAATGTGTAAATAATATTCGGTAGAGAAACTTCAGATGCATATTTTAATTTGAATGGACCTTATATTAGACAGCCATAAGAAACATTATCGCCATAAACCCTTAGAGAGCTTATCAAGTTACATTTGACGGCGATGATTAAGAAGTAAAGGTCAATCTTTTATGCATACAGGAAAACTCGATGTCAAAGAAATGCCGAAAGTACTTTTGAATGAATTGTCTGATCGACTCGTGCGAGGAAGGTCAAAAGGTCATTCCATATCTACTCGATTACTAAATATTATGACGTGTATAATTATATATAGTTTGTATAAAGGAGCTAATCTGTGCCAAGATTACGGTAATTGTATAGTATATTGTACTTGTCCGTTGGGTCTTCTACGTCCAGGTCACGTTTAAATGATCATGACGCCTCTGAGTAAGCATATAAGAACCCAGTTTCCCGTCAGTAATGTAAACTAGAAGGAATGACGTGGATAAGACTGTAAGACATTCGACTGTGCACATGGAAGTTCTTTTCAATCTCCTTCCCTGCTAATACTGGTGGTTTGGTGGATTCGAGGTAAATAAATAATATGTTTAAAACCCTTTCGGAGTTGCGGAAAATCCCATAAAGCGTGGCCAATTTTAACTAACCTTACTTCAGCCGACGACCGTCAAAATAGCTATCAGAAGCTGGCATAGTGGTAGATGTTTTATCTTCACAATGTCAAGCTATTACACCTTGACTGCCTAGCCATCACTGAAGTTTGTAAATATAATAATTTTATTGTATTGTACGCTAGCGAATTCAGCCAAACAGAGCCCATTGATTGGCTGTATTCGCCAACGTACAATACAATAAAATTGAGAAGAGGTATTGGACTTAACATTTATTTGAAATTGCTTCTATACTGTAACAAATGTGTGTCTGTGGCCACTTTACTGCCTTTAAAGGTTTTTGGACCCATACCCCAATGCTATTAGGACTTTTCGACTCAACATAGAAAATATAGAGTCAGACGATTTCGGATTACAAGACAAGGATAAACGTTATGATATTCGTTATACCTTATCCCAATAGTGGCAACTTTATCTCTACTTAGTGGGACTATATCTGGGTATCTCAAGGTAAGACACTTGCTATGTACTTTATCACTGTCATAAGTGGGATGGCAGACACCATAAAACCTACTCTAAAAAGCACTGACCACGGCATCAGACAATTTTTCATTCTAAGATTCTAACCTGTTTCGGCACCGATCGCTTTGAAAATGCCGACTATGAAGTTACATGGGAAAAAAGTTACCTATGTAATGCACGACTTGAACCTTTTGTACTTGATGCAAAGAATTTTTATGATGTGACTCAATGGATTTCATAGAAACAAACTTACCATAATATATAACCAGTGGCGGCGCCAGTTGGAGATTTGCCCCCTAGAAAAATGCTTTGCACCCCTACTTGTACCCCAACATTATTTTTAACAGATAATGAAATATTATTTTTAAGGGTATTTGCCGCAAAATCAATTCAATTTTCAAAAATTTTCTTGGGAGAACCCTCTCAGGCTCTCCAATGAGTTGCCGCATTTGAATTTCGCCTCAACAGTTGTCTCCCCATTTCAGTTTGGCCCCTATTTTTACCCCTAGTCTCGGGAGGCTAGCGCCGCCACTGTATATAACATTGCCTTACCTCAACTGAATTATATAAGGTGACAGTAAACAGGTTTTAACCTCGTTGATGAAAGCAGACAATATAGATACAGGACTAAAAATATTGATATAGCTATTTCTTTCAGAATCTGTGTTGTTTTTTCAGTATTCTGAACAATGGAGATTAAACTTGTGTTTCTCGTGTTTGGAATAATAGCATTTCATATTCACCACGCTGATGGTAAAATTTTTTTTTTTCGCCTTCCCTGTACTTGTTTGCATGTAAAAAGTCATCTTCACAATTACGTAATAGCTTGAAGTGGTGAAGATGGGGTCATGGGTTGGGTTTATGGTTTATGGTGTAGCGTGCATTTACAAAATGGATCATTCTGAGAATGTCGAATCTTGAAAATGCAAATCAAAGAAAGATGTAAATCAGTTGAGATGACCCTTCCAATCCATCTTCCATAAATTTCAGATATTAATATTTCTTGGCATATTTTCCAGTTGTCAGTAGGTTACAGGGATTTTCTCGCATTTCAAGTTTTGATCAATGTAGCGTTGTAATTGTACTAAAGTGTCCTCCGATCCTGTTCAGCAAAGTGAGCCTTCTACAGAAAACCAATAGATGAAATATTAAGATTTCAACTATTTTAGTCAGAATGTACGACGAATGTTATATTCGGTAGGCCTGCTGCTGATATGCGATGGCACATTTACTGAGACACAAAAAGTTTGCATAAAGCCAATTCGAGCAGCAAAATTTAAAAAGATCGTAAGTAGGATTTTAAAACTGTTTATATGTATCATTTTGCACCATTCCAATAGTCAATCAGACGTCTGAGATTCCTGCAAATTTCACTAAAACTAATTGCTATATAATGCGATAGTGACTTCATCAAACGTTTAGTTTAGAATATTGAAATGGTGCATATTGATACCAACAGTGCCCCAACACATATCCTTAATAATCCCTTTAAAATCATGGAATCATACTTCTCCAATATACAGGTGATGCCAGTATGAATCTCAAGGTGTTAGTCAAGGACTATTTTGAATGGAGGATGTCGGAGAAGCCCGAACAATCGACTTATAAATCTTTTTCTAAATACAATGATATACTGGATTCAATGAAGGAATCGGGGTTCGAAATTACTAAAGTAAGTAAGAAAACTGGAAATTTAGTTCATGGTTACGAATATCTAATGAAATAAAATGATATTACAATATTCGATCTTTTCATTCTGATCCATTTGTCCATGATTTGTCGAAATCTAAAAACGGGTCTACATGGTACACTTTGATTGGTTGACAATATTCATTTGAACGGAATTGTTGTAGACAACTTGTTAGATTAAAATGGAGACGACAAATATCAGAAAATTAAAAACGAAATTAAAATTGTCACTAGACAGTGATAACCCTCACCACTTCTTCAGGGTGAATGTTTCGAAATACGACATTTGCCTCGATTTTACGAGATTCTTCTCTATATCGAGTTCTTTGGAATTTACACCAAAAATACTGTTAAAGTAGGTAAGACAAGACAAGTCCTTTATTCAATAGATTGGTTGGATATCAAATTAACCGGAACAAAACATACATAAAAATTTTGTCAGATCATTGACGGTAAAAAGTGTCATCTGCAGAAAAAACAGCACGCAACAATCACTATTGTAATGTTGTTTGACTGAGATGCATGCCAAAATTATGATACTGTGCATGTTTAATCCGTCAGGCTTTGACGGATGTCTGTTTTAAACATGTTTCACGAGGCATTGAAATCTATCCCTTGTAACCTCATATAATAGAGAAATTACAAACATTCAGTCATTATTATTGTTTTGTTACACATTTATTCCAGAACCGAACCGAGGTATTCCTGACAGGACTAAGGGGAATAACTCGTGATGAATTAAGTCAACAAGAGAAAATAAGCTATGATATTTTAGAAAACATGTTGACGACTTTTTTAGATGGTTATAAATGGAGATAGTAAGATTCTATTTGTTATTAAATGTTGTAAACCTACCATCGTTCCATTTGCATAGAGCGAGCAAAGGACCATTCGGATCTGTTAAAGCCTATGATCAGATCTCGATAGCTTTGAAGAAACTAACAGATTGTCATCTTCTCAATGTCAAGACGAACGTCGTCTTATACCTTGACTGCAATAGCCACCTTTTTTGTTGTATCGCAGAAGTGAGAAAATGCAGCGAGTTGATCGGATTGTACATAAAGCGATACAGCCAATCAGAGGCCTCAACAGTCTATAAGCAATAAGCAGTGGAGTTTCTAGGAGAAATTAGTTGATGGGGCGAGCAGGGGGCACAAAATTTTCTAGGGAGCCACAGGCTATTCTTTTACTATGATAATTGTTAATAATTTTGAAAATAGGGGGCCAAAGCAGGGCCAGCCTCTGCTCCCCCCGTAAAAACGCCACTGACAATAGGCCATAATGATTACAGTCCCAATCAAATCGCTGCATTCTATGATACAAGAAAAATTGCTATTGCAGCCAAGGTGTAAGACGGATTTGCTCTGTCGTGTCTGATGTAAACACTTACATACCCAAGAGCCATTGAGTCAAGCTTCACGAAATATCAACGGAAGATTATCTCAATATTCCAACTATCTGATTGGTCAATGGTTGATTTAAAATCGAACTGTATCAACCAATTTGATTCCTGTATTTTCCAAATCTTTCGCAAATCTTGTTTAAACAGACATGGAATGTCTTTTGATTGAAAACCAAACTTCCCAATGCATGAAACTTAAAGAGGATAGCCAGCAAAATGTAACTTTCAAATCTAATCAGAATATATAATTCTTTTTTTTACAGTTATAATACTATAAACCCGATGAACCTTTTGGACGGTCCTCAGTATAATCCTTCTCACTTCCATAAAAGTTTCCCCTTTGATACAGTTGGAGACTTCGAAAACTACGTGGCCAGACTTCAAAGATTTCCAAATCAGGTATTTTTTATGGTTTTATAAACGTTAAAACACTCCACCTTTAAAGGGATTGTACAGAGGTTTTCTAAATATTTTATGTGTATCGGGGACACTGATAGCGTCATTTTATACCAATTTTCAATCGCGAAGGGCCTTGCTGATATAAAGTCCGATGGTGCAAATTGATGCTATTGGTGTCCCCGATACACATAAAAAAAATTAGAAAACCTCTTTACAGCCCCTTTAAGGCTCTGCTAGGGCTCTAGGTTCATTAGGCTCAGCTTTACGAAAACTGCTGAGTGTTGCTGAATGATAGAGTTAGGGTGGGCTTTTCATTAGTATCACACACGTGTACCACCATATTTAATTATAGAAATCAAGGTCGTAGCTCTTTCCAAATTAAAATGAAGAAAATTGGGGTCTTGGTAGAATTGAAATATATAATTAAAAAAAGGCTTGGTCGTCGTTTTGCCTCATTCCCCTCCATTACCTTTCTGTATAAAAACTTGATACCCAACTGTCAACTTAAAGGTATACTACCTCTTAGGATGACTAAAATGTTGAATTGGGCAAAATAAGTTTTTGCCCATCAGTGGACTACTGGACTATACAGAGAATCCCTATATAATCCAATAAATCCATTAAAACTAAGAAATAATTCATTAACTAAGTAATTGTAAAGCATGCTTAGAAGCGTTTTTCAATATACATTTAGTTCCATAAATATATCGTCTAAATTCTATTCTTTAATCATGGCACCTGGTAAGTCCAACTGATGAATATATACACTTGTGGACCTAGTTTGAAACTTCAAATTGTATGTCCATTTTAAGGTAGTTTCCTTTTAAAAAGAGTGATGCATAAATGGTTGATATCTCTGAATCATTAAATTTCTTTATGACATACATAAAGGTTTAAATATTCTGGGTTTAAATTTTAATGATATGAAAACTTTGAACTTTAAGTTAAAACATTTGCAAGTGTCCTTGATATTGATTACATTTCTTAACATGTTTTCATCGACTTCTTTTCATTTTGGAATTTTGCCGTGCTTGAGGAACCAAACGTTGACTTGCACTTAATATCAAATTCATGACTCGGTGTAATATTCTGTTCAGGTGAACTTTTTTTACGCACCACTTATCTAGTTCTTAGCGACATACATAAGATATTTAAGAAGAAGTATCTTTTTGTCATTTGAAAGTTTAATGCTCTTTTCAATTGAATGGGAGACGCGGTGGCTCAGTGAGTTAGACGCTTGCTCGCTAACCTGAAGGTCCAGGGTTCAATCCAGGCATAGGTCGAGATAATACCTTCGGACTTTTCAACCTGGTTTCCTCCAGGTAAGAGGGGCTGACAAGGAAAAAGCGTCTAGTCGTTCGGATGGAACAATAAACCGAGGCCCCATGTGCTACAGGCTATGCACGTTAAAAATCCCTCCACAAAGAAATCGAAAAAGAGCAGGCTAATGCCACTGTCCTGGCAAAATTTCCCTCATTGCACCCTGCACGGCGTTCCCCGTCTTAATTAGCCCACATGGCGCAGAAAAGTAGGACGTAAAACTCCATTCATTTAATTTCATTTCAATTGAAGGTTCGCTTGAAGTACATTCAATACATCGTATATTATATAAAGTAGGGCGGAATCAGACTCAAATTTACCTTTTTATCAAGTTTCCCGAAATTTTGACAAATTGTGATCTGCATTTGATATGGGGCCGAGTCAGAATTTTCAAAAGTGGGTTCACAGGCAGATTCCCTTTATTATATGAAGGAAGAGGGAGGGGCAAACCGGCCAGTCTTTTTTTTCTGGGGTGAGAGGGGAGTGGGATCAAGGTCTCCCTGCCCCCCCTGGCCCCATAGTAGAACATAGAATAGTCTCTTTAACTGGGTATGTAGGTTTTGAGTGTTATTTTATTTTTTTATTCTAGCTGGATGAGATCATTACTTTGTTTAATTTATCTATATCTAAACAAACCACTTATCATGCTGTATCTTTGGTAAGTATAATAATAATCCTACCTAGATCTTGCATCTGTTCATAATATCACCCCATACAGACGTCACAATGTCGTTAAACCGACGTATTCAGTCAAAATGCTCAGGGGCTATCAAGTTATAGGTCTATCAATTTCTCTCCTCCGCTTCAAAAAAAGAAATCTTACGATAAAATTTGTCGTTAATTAAGTGTTAATTTTATAATTTTTTAAATACTGATCACATAAACGATCATTCCCAAATACAGTCATTTATCTAGTTCATACGGTACAGAATTACGGAAGCGTATTAGGGCCATTCATTTTTTTGGGGAATTTTCAAGTTAGTATGTTGAATTTTCAAGTTAGTATGTTGAAGTTACTAACTTGAAAATTCAAGTTACTAACTTGAAAACTCAGTTACTAACTTGAAAATTCAAGTTACTAACTTGAAAATTCAACATAATAACTTGAAAATTAAAGATACTAACACATACTAACTTGAAAATTCAAGATACTAACTTGAAAATTCAAGTTACTAACTTGAAAATTCAACATACTAACTTGAAAATTAAAAAAAAAAAAAAAAATTGAATGGCCCTAATACGCTTCCGTACAGACCGGTAGTCAGTCTTGATTGTTCGAAGGGGCAAGTAATATATATGGAGGAGCAATGGTGAATGGTGTTTAATAATGACATTGGTCGCTTGTCAGATTTTTTTCAGGGAGGCAATGCATTTTTTCGAGATTGTCCCCTATCTTTCGGTGGCAGTTTCATATTGGTGGCAAATTTACATTGACTACAATGTTAAAGATGGTATTGATATTTTCTATTGCAGACTCTAGTATTTAATCAGATAGATAAAATCTGTCCAGTTCCCACTAACTATTCAATAAAGTGTGGTTATTTTACACCGTTTGTAAAGTCTATAGACCATATACATATATCATCAGAGAAAAGGTACTTGTATCCTTGTTTTTGTCTCTCACCCTCCCTTTGAACTTTACTGGTGCTAATGATTAAGCTTATACATGTTACTTAGTGGTAAGCGTTGTACACCGATGCATGCACCTATTAGAGCTTTAATCTTGCCTTTAAATCTCGGGATTCGGGCTGTGAGAGCGCAAGAATATTTGTTTGTATTAGGTTTATAGAAGTATTAATGTCATATTAAAGTTCAAGCATTGTTATCATTGGTTAACACACAAACTCATAACAACTAGCCAATGGACATTTTCATGGCGATTTAAGGAATTAGACGCCCTCTTTCTTGCTCAGAATACTCGATCCCTTCACTGCTTTAATCTTGATTTCCTCTCCTCCATGTCATGTGGAACCGCTAGGATGTGAGAGCATTTGGGAATTGAGTAGACTAGGCAAGATGTTCCTCACTGCACACTGCATTGTGTTGTATCTCTTTCTTAGATTAAATGGAAGCTGAAAAGTGGGATGTCAAGTTATTGAAGTTATTGTCACTTAACTTTACAGAGCTCATATACCAAACAATCCTCTTACACACAGCCCTGCGTCTTCACCATGTCTTGCCTAAATCCCCGAGATTTTCTCGATTATATGATTAAATTTCTTTTTCTTTCTATAGAGAAGATTTAATATCGAGAGCTAAGATAGCTATAGATAGCATTGTCTCAAAATATCAAGAAGTGAAGACATTCTTACAAAGTGTAAGTTAGATTCTTTTCTTGTCTGAGATCGTCGCAGATAAATCATCTAACGGTCTACCGTTAAAATTCAACTAGCACTCTGCAACAGCCTTAATTCCATGGATTGCCGAATGATAAACCATGACACTACCAGCAAAGCGAAACAATCAGATGGCGAACATGCTTGGAGTCCGCAAATGACTAAGTACAACAAAAACCACTTACATGCCCCACCTACTCTCAATATTGAGGGATTTATCATCAAACACATATTATTTGATGTTATGACAATCATTTTGTTGAGAACTCATGAAATCAGATGATAAAAATCCCTACAATTACCCCTTTTTTCAGGAGTACCTACCAAACACTAGAAAACATTATGGTGTATTAAATCTTGAGAATGGTAGAGAGTATTATCAAGCTTGTTTAAAATGGTATTTGTCATTAGATTTGACCCCCGAAGAAGTTCATCAATTAGGTCTGAGAGAGGTTGAGAGGATACAAAGCGAGATGATGAAGGTAGGAATAACGTTTTCAATTCACCAATGAAATATGACTATGGTTATCAGATCTGATGTCACATAGACGTATTCATATCGAGAAGACTTTAGAACAGTTGTAATTCTCACATGAAATCAACCATGTGTATCTGATAGATAAAGACGGATTCCTATCGAGCAAGACTTTGGAATGTAATGAATTTGCACTGGAAATCGACCGAAACAGGTTTGATAAGTGCACAAGATGACGGCGTTTGGAATTAAAGGTGCCCTCACATCATAGCGATTACCACTTGCGTATGGTTGCGAATAATGAAAGTGGTCACGAGTACCGAAACCAAATCACAACTCAGTTGCATGAGAATTGCGTTCGAAACTTTTTACCGCTCTTATTCATATTCGCAGCCATACACAAATCATGATCCCTGGGAGGCCCCTTTGAATTCACTCGAAACAGATTTTCTGTATAAATGGATGTTTAATTGAAGTTTATCTATTTTCAGATTGTGGAGAGAAATAATTTCAATGGAACGGTGTCTGAATATTTCCTTTTTCTGAAAAATGACAGCAGCATGTTCTTCAACACATCGGTAAGAAGCTGCTGGGATGAATTTTTACTTCATATACTTATATGACGTTCTTGAATAGGTGTTGAAACTTTAAACTGAAAAACCTAGTCGAGGATTTAGCTCAACCAGGCTTTCCGAAAGGGGGCACAAAATATTGTAGTGCAATGTAGATGTGTTCGCTTTGCAATATTTCTAATCAAACCTCTAATTACAAACCAAGTTACAGATTGGAATCTATTGTTTCAAGGGAACGATAAACGTTCTGCTAAATGTAACTTTTCCTTTTCGGCCACCAAATACTTTATAAATCATTGCATTGCTTGGGTCCCTCTTTTTAATCACATTATGGTCCTTTCTTACTTAGGCTGAACACGTTAAATATCCCTCCACAATTGGGAATCGATTAAGAGCAAGCTAATGCCGCTGCGAAATTTCCCTTATTGCACCCTTCATGGAAAACCGTCTTCATTAACCAACATGGTGAAGAAAAGAAGGACGTAAAACATCATTCATTTTCAGTTCATTTCCTTTCTTATATAATTAAAGCTACCATGTTCGTGTAAAACTAAAATTCAGTTGACATAATACTTCCATCGACCCTAATCCTTTTCTCCCCTTCCCTAACATCACACAAGATAAGAATTATCTCAAGAAAATAATCTTATATATATTTACTTTCAGGAAGCAATGCTCAAGTCTTACAGTGACATGATTCATAACCAGATCGATCCACTGTTGCCCAAACTGTTTAAAAAACTCCCTAATCTTCCTATAGTGTAAGTCAATTGTCTTAAGGTCAAAATCTGAATATTCGAAATACATTTTTATAAAGTGGAAAACCTCGACTTCCTCGTACTCTGGTATATATAAGTTGCTACTGTCGATAATAAATCCCCAAATCACAGAGATCCCCTGGTTGTGCAAGCGAAGTATTTTCCATTTCCATTATTTGTTTCTATATAATTTATGACTAAACAAACCATGTCCTAACGAAACCAAAAATCCCAAACAACATATTGGCGAAACATCGGTTGAGGCTAATGAACGTATAAGTCAGTAAGAATGAACGTATAAGTTAAGTAAGTATTTCATAATGAAAAGTAATATCAGGTGTCTAGAAGAATAAGCATACCATTCAATCCGCCATGTTCTTAGAAATGAAAACTTGAGATTGAAAAGTCCCAGTATTTTAAATCAAATACTTATCTTATTTTGCAGTACTCATTTGTACGGAAGCGTATTAGGGCCATTCATTTTTTTTTTTTTTTTTTTGAATTTTCAAGTTAGTATGTTGAATTTTCAAGTAAGAATGTTGAATTTTCAAGTTAGTAACTCGAATTTTCAAGTTAGTAACTCGAATTTTTAAGTTAGTAACTGGAATTTTCAAGTTAGTTACTTGAATTTTCAAGTTAGTTTCTTGAATTTTCAAGCTAGTATGTTGAATTGTCAAGCTAGTATGTTGAATTTATTAAGTTGAATTTTCAAGTTAGTATGTTGAATTTTCAAGTTAGTAACTTGAATTTTCAAGTTAGTATCTTGAATTTTCAAGTTAGTATCTTGAATTTTCAAGTTAGTATCTTGGATTTTCAAGTTAGTATCTTGGATTTTCAAGTTAGTATCTTGAATTTGCATGTTAGTATCTTGAATTTAGTAACTTGAAAATTCAAGATACTTCCGTACATTTGGATACTTAAGTGTAATATTTTTTTCAGGGTGAAGGCGATGACGTCAGATGGTCCGGGAGGAATGTATTCTTCTGGGTCTGCTGATGGAACTCATCCTGGTATCTTCTGGGCTAATGTTCTCCGACCTCAAGAATTGTAAGATTTGTTTTAATCATCGATCCAATCAGAATAGTTAAAATACAGATCTAACTTCACCACAATTATGACGTACAGATCGCAAATACCATTCAAGTTGAATTGTTTTCTCTTGGATAACAAAACAATTGACTTCAAAATGGAAACAGTTTCGTCATTTTCTTCTTGTAATTTAAGTCTTGAATATATGTAAATAATCTTCAGAAGTACTAGAAATGCACGAAAATCGCACAATTCCTTCAAAAATATCTCAGATTTCTTTTTCTATTTCTATAGAATCGAATATGTATTTCTATATATGACTCGTCTTTTTTCTAACGCGAATAATCCTGGATACACATGCATTAAAAGGCTCAAATTTCGACGGTGAGCTGTGAACACTATTACTGATATGTGCAGTTAAAAATTCACCAAGTCTAAGTTAAGTCTGTTTTAAAAAAAATGGAGCATATGTTGCTTTAAGTGTTTCAATACACAGACAAAGGATAGAAATTGACTGTAAATGAAACATATTGACCTACAATAATCCTGAAATAGAATGTGAAATACTTGTGTTTTTATTGTCGATTTTGCCATAATTAGTCGTTTACCCAATATACAATTCTGCATTTGTGCACTATTTCTAGTCCTAAAATAACGATGTTACCACTAGCTTTACATGAAGCATCTCCCGGTCATCATCTACAGGTATATTCTACCCGATCAAATATTACCATATATTTCAAGCTAAATAGCAATATACTCCAAGCTATTTAACCACATACCCAAAGCTATATAACCATATACTCCGAGCTATTTAACAATATATTTCCAAGCTATATAAATTATTCTAAGTTATATAACCTTACACTACAAGCTATATACTCTAAGCTATATAACTATATACTCCAAGCTATTTAACCATGTACTCCAAGCTATTTAACCACATACCCCAAGCTATATAACCATATACTCCAAGCAATATAACCAGATTACCTGTATAACCATAAACTAAATAGCCATATACTCCTAGCTAAATTACCATATATTCCAAGCTATATAACCATATACCCCACGCTATATAATCATATACTGCAAGTTATATAACAATATACTCTAAACTATATAACCATATACCCAAAGCTATATAACCATATACTCTAAGCTATATAACCATGTACCCCAAGCTATATAACCATATTCTTCAAGCTATATTACCATATATTCCAAGCCATATAACCATGTATTCCAAGCTATACAACCATGTACTCCAAGCTATATAACGATTTTCTTCAAGCAATGTAACCATATACTCCAAGCTATATTACCTTGGTCAAAACTATATAACCATACACTCATAGTCATAACCGTGTACTCAAAGCTACATATACTCTAGGACTATTTAACCGCTATATAACCATTTACCATAAGCGATATAACCGTATACTCTCAGCTATATAACCGTATACTCCAAGCTATATAACCATATACTCCAAGCTATATAACCATATACTCCAAGCTATATAACCATGTACTCTAAGCTATATAACCATATACTCCAAGCTATACAACCATGTACTCCAAGCTATATAACCATATACTCTAAGCTATATAACCATATGCTCCAAGCTATATAACCATATATACCTAGCTATATAACCGTATACTTCGAGATATATGATTATACCATCCAGTATGTATTTTATCTTAACATAAATCATTGTAAAAAACATGGTATAGCACCAGTTTTTAATAACAAAGTACATTGTGTTATACCATATATTCCCTTGTATTGTTTTTTGTTATACGTGCTTTCCGCTTCTAAATGTCGTTTAAATCTGATGTAACAGAGTAAGTAGGCCAAAGCGACACAATTCAAGCGTACAGTTTATAAAAAAAAAAGATATCCATAATTTCTTATGTATCCATTTAATCAGGCCCCCACAAATTGCATAGAAATTAGGGAATAAGGATTGGCTTTAAGTGAAGTTAAAAAATTATAATTATTTATAATCTTATCAAAGATATAAGTTTGTCTTGAACCCTTTTCTTCTTACAGTTCAGTTATAATAAATTTATCGACTCTCCAGATTTTAGAAGTAAAATGGAATCAAGTTATTTATACAAAGTTCCAGTTGCTTTCCCAAGATATACAGCATCCACTGAGGTAAATACTATAACCCAAGTTATATTTCTCATTGCAGATAACTGCCATAGTTTCTAACTCATTTGGTTGCTAGTAGGACAACATGATTTCACATTGAAATGTCAGCAGAGACATGTGTCTCCCAGGATGGAACCATTCTGTCAATAGGTAAAAAGAAGAAATAGATGAAACCCACAAAATCAGATCCACTAGTTATTACAATGGATACAGACAACAAAACTCAATTCAATTGACATAGAGTTAGTTTCATAGAAATGTCGTGTCCATAACCATAACTGACCATTGTGAGTGTCAATCATACATAGTTTAAAAATTTAGTCTAAAATGTTGTAAACAGGTCTGGTCTTAATTTATTCCCGAATAATGATATTATTATTGAATATTGATTATCATTACTATTATTATAATCATCATAATTATCTTTTGTTAATTCTTTTCGAGGGGTGGGCATTATATGCTGAATCACTAGGACATGAGCTTGACCTGTACAAAACAGATCCTGAACTGTAAGTCTTTTAATGTAGAGTTTTTTTTCCCTTCATATCTTACCTCTTCAACAGATTCTGTGGTCTTTTGAGGGGCAGTGAAGTCTTACTATTTTATACCTCAAACACTATCTTCATGCCATCGTCTCATCAACACGTTCGAAACTACATTAGTTTTCACTCATCCCTTTAAAACGAATCCAGATTTATCTAGTAGATACATAGAAGTATATACATGCACAACATTTTTAAGAATTAACATTTGACATACTACACCTTTAAACGAGGATGTGATTTGCTTATGCACATTGTACGCACTAAAAACGCATTTGCAGTTGAAATCGGAAAGGGTGTTATACATGGATAACAACTTCTACAAGCAGCAACTGATTAAATTTGGTCTCACTGCATTATATATCTCAAGGTATTAATCAACTACACCAAGCTAACATATTTAAAATTGTTTATACTCAGAGTTATCAAGTCTAATGCAAGTAAATAAATTTTTCAGATTAGGGCGTTACAGTTCTGAGATGTTTCGAGCCTGTAGACTGGTTGTTGACACTGGCATACATTATTACAAGTGAGTATGGGATCGGAATCATATAATTCTATGGAATCATCGCACAATTATATGTACTTCCGGTAGGATAGGTTGTTGCTGTTGGCCCATTCAGATGGGTGAGTGGTATTCAATATCAGCTGCGTAAGAGTCTCTGACGACATTGGCGTTTGTAAGGAATGGGGGCATGCCGATTTCAAATTTCTTTTCATTGAGTTCTTAAATGCTTGGTGCTGTTTGTCCAGTTAATGATTCATAGAACGCCACTGACTACCGAGTTACAGGAAACAAGCACAGGTACTTGGAAAAAAGGTATTAGCATACCTAATCCGATTGATCAATCGTGGTTTATACGTGACAAATGCATTTCTGTGTTATTTTAGCTGGACAAAAGAAGAGGCAATAGAGTATTTTTTGAATTATACGCTGCAGGCCAGGGCCGATCTTGAAGTGGAAATAGATCGTTATGTCACTTGGCCTGGACAAGCTTGTTCTTACAAAATTGGTGAATTGAAGATTAAAGAACTCAGAGAGAAAGCTACAAAGGAACTAGGTTGGTACATGCATACCATTTCGATCCATTTTCATTAGCTACACATTCTGTTTAGTCTACTGTGAGACAATGGAGAATCCATTTTAAACAGATTACACAGACAATGTCTTTTGTGCGTGTAAGGCTTCAGTGTTAATCAGTATTACTGCAATAAAAATAAACGTTGTTCCCATAGTTGTCACTTCCTTTCAACCATCTTCTTCTAAGGAATAAAATAAGTTTAGATACTTCCAAGCTCATTGATTAATAATAATGCTATTTTGATGTTAATAGGGTAGTTTTTTCACTCGAAGGTTCGTGTTATATCGTTACAGGTGCCAAATTTGATATCCGAGACTTTCACACATTTATAATGGAAGGTGGAATAGTTCCTTTAAATCTACTGGAGAGAAATGTTAATGAATGGATCAAAAAACGACTTGCTGAAGAGACCAAACCCGGCAAACCGGAACCTGGACCCACGTGTTCAGCACCGAATCAATTACCATTTCATCATTTATTCATTGTGTCTTTCCTTTCCTGTCTTTCAATTTTATCTCTGTTTTAATCTAGTGTTTTATATTTCATGTTACTTTGTGCTATAATAGTATTCTATATATAATCGCATATCATAATCATTATTGTTTTGTTTTTTCGTCATGTTCTGTTCTATTGTAAGGTAGGTAATTAGACGACAGGTTTACAGTCGCTTCCAGCGGACGCTGATCGCCAATTAGGTAGTTGTCATAGTAGTTGGTAGCTGTATTAGTTCAAATTGAATTAGTCTGTGCTATTTGGTAGTTGATAAGTTCTGTTATAATCTGTTCGGGTTTAAAAATACTAACACGCTACGCTATACTAGGGGATACAGCCAATCAAAGCCCTTGACAGGCTCGCTAGCGTACAATCCAACCATATCGCTGTATTTACAATTTACAAATTTCCACGATACGGCAAAGGTGGCTATTGCAGTCAAGGTATTAGACGCAGTTTGTAACAGACAATGTGAAGATGACATGCGAGCAGCAAAACAATGGTAATTTTTGAAGGATCTAGAATATACAGGTCTGGAATTTTTTAGGCAGATATCTTTTATCCCAAGCAAGGTGCAGTTCACCATTTAGAGATTTGCCTTATTTAATGAATTTCACGCACCTAGAAGGTCAAACATTTGTATGTAATATAATATATTAAAAGCTTGTTAAATTTCTATAGTCTTAAATTATGTTGTTGAATTCAAAACACATGTTGACCATTTGTAAAAAGACTGACATTCAGTTGTAGTAGACATTAATCCGAGAAACTCAGACTTAAACCATTTGATGGCAAAAAATCTGGACTATTTAAATTGTCCTAGGAGAAACTAAAATTGAACTTTGTCCTAGGGTGAACTCAAATTGTAATTGGAGCCTGTCCTAGGACAATTTTAAATTGGACTTTGTCCTAGGGGGATTTTAAATTCTCCTAGATTTTAGTTTCTACTGTGACATATATATATGGTAAAATTATCTAAACTGTATAAATTTGATAAACTCTGATTGATAACTATTACATCTGATTGATAACTATTGTACCTGATTGACAACTATTGTACCTGTTTGACAATTGTTGTACGTGATTGATAACTATTGTACCTGATTGACAATTGCTGTACTTGATTGATAACTATTGTACCTGATTGACAATTGCTGTACTTGATTGACAACTGTTGCATCTGATTGACAACTGTTGCATCTGATTGAAAACTGTTGTACCTGATTGACAACTGTTGTATCTGATTGACAACTCCTGACAACTGTTACATCTGATTGACAACTAATGCATCTGATTGACAACACTTTTAACATCTAATCGACAACTGTTGCATCTGATTGACTAGTGCTGCATCTGATTGACAACTGTTGCATCTGATCGACAACTGTTGCATCTGATTGACAACTGTTGCATCTGATCGACAACTGTTGCATCTGATTGACAACTGTTGCATCTGATCGACGACTGTTGCATCTGATTGTCAACTGTTGCATCTGATTGACAATTGTTGCATCTGATTGATAAATGTTGCATCTGATTGACTAGTGCTGTATCTGATTGACAACTGTTGCATCTGATCGACAACTGTTGCATCTGATTGACAACTGTTGCATCTGATTGACAACTGTTGCATCTGATCGACAACTGTTGCATCTGATTGACAACTGTTGCATCTGATTGACAATTGTTACATCTGATTGATAACTGTTACATCTGATTGACATCTGAAGATTTGAGTAAGATTTGATTGACACAAATTTTAACTAAATAACTTTAATTTATAAAATATCAAAAATATTGCACAAGGTAAAGATCTATTATAATAATCTAATATTATTGCACATTCAAATTGTAAAGAACCAAAAAATAAACAAAAAACTAATAAACTATTTTAAACAACACAAAAAATACAATGATACAAGCCTAAAAGTATGGCTAAAACGAAGAATATCATGATTGCCTAAATGCTGACCAGCTATCAGAGTCAGAGTGAGTTATGTGTAAATAAAAATGAGGTCCTGATTTGAATTATTTGTTTTATATAATATATAGCAACAATATTTATACTGGGTTCCTCTGTAAACATGACAGGATACAGACAAACATCTATTTCAGGCAATATATGGAAATAAAAATAAAAAAAAACCCAAAAATAACCAATATTATTAAAAGATTCAAAACAATTAACTATAAAAGTAATTAAGTACATTCAAATAGAAATGTTGGAATGTGATTTTATATACAATTGATAAAATATAAAAAGCTTTATAACATGAATTAATCTAATTACTATATTTCAGGAGGTGAAATATACACTGAACATGATTTTAATTAATCATTATAAACATCTAGAGGTTAGCATTATGAACCTCGATAATAGCTGTTCTATTTTGTCTTGACTTGTGCAAGAAAACTGCTCTTACTCCTGATGTTAAGGTTTTTACATGGATTAATCTAATAACTATATCATGAGATCTAATATACATACACTAAACATGATTTTAATTAATCATTATAACCATCTAAAGGTTAGCATTATGAAGCTCAATTCTTCTTCACTTGTGCAATGACTCGTCTAGCTCTTGATTTTCCTGGATTTTTCAGGTATTTAGAATGAACTCCATGATATTTATAGCATAAGCACTATGGAATTTACAGTGTGCCCTTTATAAGTGCAAGAACTGATCTGGATCATGAATTTCAAACCTGCTAAAGTTGAAATGAATTGTTCTAATGACTGCATTGAGCAATATAACGTTAACATGGCTTTTATAACCATTAACCACTATGAAACCGCCATTCTTCTAGCTCACATATTTACTATATTATTCATGAGATATGTACATCTATTGATGAAGTTAAACATTGCAGTTGAACATGTGCTGTGGTTGTAATTTTTATACATGTGAATATTCCTTACACTAGACTACACTTGTTCTGGACAACCAGTCACAATCTTTTTCTTGCACACACTATTGGCTGATCTTTATATATTCTCTTGAACATCTAGGCTCAACATATTCCTCACAAACATAGATGATTTATCCCAATACAAGAAATAAAATCTTGAACATCCAGAATCCAAATATTTCTTGTAGACATGTGATCTTGTACAACCAGACTTAATATGATTAGCACACTCGCGTTCATTTTATAAATGAGTATCTGCGATATTAATTCGTTTTGTTTCAAAATTGTCCAGTCTGACAGATAAGGTGGAAGTACTGTCTATACTTCGTGAAAGTTCACTCGGAGTGATGCTGCCACCAGTCTTTAACGCATGTAGCAGATCTTCAAAGTCTTTATCATCAACATCTTGATGATGTGAAGGTGGATTGATCACAGCTATGGGTGGATTGATATAAACTTGTGTAGGTAAAGCTCTTTTGACTGTCATTGTACTTCTTGGTCCCACTGATTCTTTTTCCCAACTCTAGAATTATACAGGAAAGGAAATGTAATAGAGTTTAACATCCCACTTTTCTCACCCTGATTCCTGATTAGGACAATGAAGTTAGACAATGCAATGCTATTTGCAATGAGGGAAACTTTACTTGGACAACTGAGTAAGACTCTTTTTCCAATTGTCAGGGAATCTTTTAAGTGTGCAGCACACAGAACCATAAATGAATAACTTCATTACAGGGGAATCAAAATTTCATAATTACAAATCAACAAATCTGCTGAAAGCATGTCCAAGTTTTACAGTGCACTAGTGCCTCTCTCTACCATAGGGTTTTGCAAAATAGAATCCTTAATCCCTAATAGTGTCATTTCATAATTTCTAATAAAATTTCAATGAAGAATACTATACCTCATTAAGTAGATTAGCTCTGGCGTTTTTCATTGAAGGTGCTGTATCATACTCATCACCATGGTAACCATAATTAACAGCGGACGGAGGTGGCAATGAAGCAAAATGATTGGATCCATACATAGCTTTCTTAGATGGTCCTAGACACGTAACGCAGGGGTTTCTTAATATGGCATACAGCACCAATGCCATCAAACCCTAGAAAGGAAAAGGTATTGATGATTGAATACCAAAAACAAGACTTTAATTAATACATGGGTGATACACTAGTGTAATATTCATCAATAGTGATTTATCAATCATAAGTCCAGGAGAGAGAAGTGGAGAGGGGGACTGATAAAAATCTGTACAAGCAAAACATTTGTTTACCAGAAATCTCATCCAAAGCATAACATGGGAATAACAAATGGAGATTAGTGGACTCCTCAAGAATATCCTCAGGTGTTTCGAAAAAAGTAAGAACGGTCTGCTTTGCACGACAACAGCCACTAATATCAAGCACGATCCACATGTTACAGGGAAATTTGGAGAAAGCAAAGGTTATTTTGGTCCTTGGGGAAAAAATTGATAGATAAACTCCACTCTTGAACTTCACGAGAATAATATACCTGTATTATGTTGAAGATACAGAATAAAATCAGCATCCATAGTTGCCCATACACCATGTGTAATCCACCCCATAACCACGTTAAACAGATCACAATCCAAAACGCTATCATCAATCTCACTTCTACAATACAAAATAATTAATTATTAGGCAGGATATTTAATCTATTTGTTTGTATAAGGATCATGACTTTTCTCTCTATTTTTAATAGGATATACACCCATGACTGTATTTCAAATATCTATCTTCTTTAAGAGCCATTGACACAATATATAATATCACTATTTAAAACTGAATTTAATTTAGTTTCAATCACTAATTATTGAAAACCGAGTGTACATACCAGTAAGGTTATATCTTCCTCTATAAATATCATCATAGGACTGCCATTGTGGTGTTAACTGGAACGCCTTGACAAACACTATAGCCACCACTAATAACATTAATAACACTGGGATTATTACACCACCCAGTGCTGAATATGGATTGGTAATAAAACACCTACAAACAAAGTAACATAGAATTCATATGGAATTTGCGCTGGAAAAGAAAAACTCACAGTGGAGAAATACAAATAGAATAATACAAATTGTCTTTAGAACCAAACTTGAAAGACTGTAGTCATAAGAAATCTTCAGCAAAATGAAATGAATGGAGTTTTACATCCTACTTTTCTGCATCTTTTGGGCTAATGAAGACGGGCAACACCATGCAGGGTACAATGAGGGAAATTTTGCCAGGACAGCGGCATTAGCCTGCTCTTTTTTGATTTTCAACTGTCGAGGGATCTTTAAAGTGCACAGCCTCTCGCACACAGGGCCTCAGTTTATTGTTCCATAGAAATCTTCAGCAGGCCATATCACTACACAAATACAAGACAATAGAAACAGACAACTCTTCATAGGGACACAAATTTCACAATGTACATCTAACCTAGACTCATAAGAAAGCACGAGGTAGAAAAACGGAAATTTTTGTCACTACTTACATTTCTCCATTGTTATTGACATCACCATAAATAAAATCATAAGGTAAGTCATAGATATACTTATACACATTATATACTACAGCATAGAATATAGCTACTAATATCATTGGTACACCTACAAAATATAATTATTAATTAAAAGTTGTTTCCCAGAGATCAAATTTGATTTTAAAGATTCTCCTGTCTTCGAAATTGCATCTGAAATCATCATAACTTTATAAATTTGTTTTCACTATTTTTAATAAATAATTCTTTTCTATTGAAACATTCTCAACTGGA